ATTAATGAGGATTTATGAGTATATTTGATATATAATTATGAAAATCAACTATTATTAATAAGTTAAGTTTGAACTTTTGAGAACCCATAAACTTTGCCTCAAAAAGTTGTTAGGCCAATAACATATTTCGATTCAAATCATTTTAGGAGGGGAGGGAAGAATTTTTTGATCAATTAAATTGTAATCTTTTTTAAATATTGCAATTTGATTGGTAAAAAATTTTTCCTTTACCCTCAACCCAAACATATTATTAATTAAATATTTGAAATGAAAATGAGAAATACTAATATATTAAAAAAGAAAAAGTTATTACTTTTTTTTCTTCTTCTTCTTCTTTTTGAGAAAAAAATGATAAAATCTATATTAATACAAAAAAAGACAGTTCATTAAGGTTGTTTTAGAAAGTGAACTTCTAGAACATAAGATAAAATGTAACCACAAGAAACGAACATTTATTAAAAATAAAAAAAGTTAAAAAAGGTGATATTCCTATTTTGAGAAGTTAGTTAGTACACATATGGCTATCGTTATTAACCTGTTGCAATGTTGAGTTATAACAAAATTCATCATGAGTCACTACAAGAAAATTCACATTTAGTGACTAAATTATTAATCATTAAATCTTCATTTTTTGTCACAAATTATTATTAGTGATAAAATTTAAACCGTTAGTAAAACTCTTGTCACTAATGCTCTTAGTGATAAATTAGATACTTGTCACAAAAAATAATCTTATAGTGATAGAAAAAATTAACATTGTTAACAAGTTATTTATAACAATTTTATTCGTCACAAAAAATATTTTTTGTTACAATAATTTTCATCACAAATGTTACAATTGAGTGACAAAAAAATAATTACAAATGCAATTGTGATGAAAAAGTTAGCCATTAATTATTAAAATTGATATTAAATAAAAAAGATATTTATATAATTACAACACAAATATTGTAACAAAAATTTTGTCACAAAAAAATAATATATAAATTTATTACAAAAGTTCAATAAAAAATATTATTATTTTAATACTAATCAATTTTGATTAAAATTAATCAAGCCCGATTAAAATTAATCAAGCCTAAACTAATCTCAAGTTTTATTGAGCTTCACATGTTTTATAATGTAAAAAAAAATTTCTTTAAATATTTTTCATTGATGTGGAATATATTTATAATGTAAAACTTTATTATCTTATATGTTTTTTATCGATGTGGGATGCATTGATTAGAGAAAATTGACAACTTTTAGTGATGAAATATATTTTTAATGATGAATTATTTGGTTATCATTGAATGTGTAAGGTACATGTGATTCATATTAGAATTTTGTCATAATTGTAATGCATTATAATGACGATTTTTATCGACAAAACCTTATTTTATCTCTATGAACATTTTTCGGTGATGAAATATATTTTTTATGATGATTCTTTTTGTTCATCATTAAATATATATGCATTTATGACTAATTTTTTAGATCTATCACAATTGTGATAAGTTATAGTGATGATTTCAAAATTTATCACAAATTTCTATCACTAAAAACCATTTTTCTTATAGTGAGTTCTCTACAATTCAAAATATTAGAGATATTGGCAAACAATAATTAAATAGTATAAAAAAAATCAGACCCAATGTCAATTTTAGAAAATCCCTTGATAATATTAAAGTTGGAGGTTATCTTTTATATTTTAAAGTTTAACACTTACTCATTAGTAATGCCTATATTCTTGACAAATCTCATAATCTAATTGTTATTATGATCTTTGAAGATCCCTCTTCTGCCAATAGGTTTGAGAAAGATAAGCCCTTTAGTATTACTGTTCAATAAAATATATAGGAGGTTTATGCTAATAAAATATATCAAATTAGTTATTAGATAAATTAGACTAAATAAGAAAAAATAACTAAAATTTAATAGTTTTATAAATAATAAAAGAAAGTCACTTAGAATCTTAAAATAAGAATTCTTATAAAACTTTTCATTTTCTTTTTGTTACTAAATTTTCCAAATAATGAATGAAAACAAAGCAATCCAATGAATTTTGACATAAGGGAATCATCTATGCATTTATCTCTTGTTTGGTTTAAGAGAAACAAAGTCCCTTCCACTTGTTTGGTTAGACTAAAATGCAAAATAATAATA